CCTTTTCTTTTAACAGAACTAATAGCTTCCTCCTCTCTTAATCCTCGTTCGATTCTCGACGTTCGTTGTGATTCGGGCGAGAAATTCAAGAACGGAGAACGAACGATTCAGAAAGATCCGAAATGTCACCGGAGACGGTTGGTTCGCGCACGGCGGCCGCCGATGCAACGTAATATCTGGCCGCATACGAAATAGGGTGATACATCGCAGCCGCTATTACGTTTCATTGCACGACATTAGACGAGATTACGTTGCTTCTCGTAATGTTACACCGAGCCTCATGACTTAATGGCTTATTTCATCATCATTCTATCCGGACCCCATATACGTTCTTCTCGCTGTCGCCGTTTTTAAGAATGACTCCGCGAGCTTGCAACTGCGCGGTCCGCTATCGCATTTGCATAAGCGTTGCATAACCCCAGACATGGAAAACGCGTGCAATCGTGTCTCTTTCCTTTCCGACTCGCGATAATGGAGCGTATCGATCCTAAACCACGATATCTCTCGCGAATCTACCTAAAATCTTACCGTCGCCCTCGCCTATCGTTTGAAACGCTACGTTTTCGATACCACGAGATTGAATTCGCGTCAATGTGAAAACTACGGTTTGCAGATGCGTGTTCAGCATCGATGATATATGCGATAATTACACGGAAAAAAGTTTGGTTGTATCAACCAGAAAGGGAACAATCAGATGTATTTTGGTTGGAGGAAACAAAATTTCTGGTTATAAGAATCACATATGGGTCATAAAAACTAGAAATTCTGTTTCCTTCAACTAGAACGCATCTGGTTGTTCCCTTTCTGGTTAATGCAATCAGTTTTTTCCGTGTGATATTGTAAGTAAACCTTGAAATTAACTGAAGTTTAAAATTTCTAAGTCCAAAATTTAATTAAAATAGCTAATTTAAAATTATTAGTATCCGAGGGACAACTTTATATTTATATATATCTATATATGTGCAGGGTCAGGTAAATTAATCTTTTTCTAAGTTAAGTTAAAAGTTACCTAAATAAAAACTGACTAAAAGTTGAGTTAAAATTAAATTAACTTATTAAAGTTAATAGTTAATTATGGAAAACCATATACATAGCTTAGGAAAAAAACAGTTATATATATATATATATAATTTTGCATAATTAACTATTAATTTAAATTAATTTACCTAATCCTGTTTATATGTAACTCTCTGTAACTTCTGCAAATCTTCAGATTTCCAAACGTTCGCAACTTGGAAACTATGTCCGAAGAAGAGATCTAGCCCAAACTGTTCAAAGAATGTGTCCCTATAAAATATCGTCCGGTGGGTTTTGCTGAGTTTGTGTTAGCGGTCTGTGACTTCACGGAACTTACGACAAATCGCGAGGGCAAGAGTTGTGATAAGCCTATAACAGCGAATCGACGTCTTACTCAGCGGTTCGCGCACAGGAAGTCGGTACGCGACTGCTGAAATTCGCTTCCCGTTCATTCGCCGCGCCGGTTCCCGATTTCCACGCGCGCGCACAAGAGTGCACGTGCACGGACATCATTAATCTTGCCTGACCGATGATCAACGACCTCTCTTATTGACCACGACGGGCATGCGAACATACACACACGTGTGCGGTCCCGTCAGAGTCATAGCGAGAGTATATTATATTATATATTAGCTAATATTCCATTGATAATTATTTTTTTTCTTCATCTTTGTTCTTTGTAAATTTCTAAATTGCGCTTAGGACTTTTAAATTGCTCGCATTGTTATCGAACATAAATTAACGACAGCGGCAACTATAAGTCTGCCAATGTGTACATCAGTGATCAAGATGAATTTTTAGGGATGTATTGCCTATTGGTACTGTATTTTTAGTGGTGCATCAAAAAAATCGCTCATAAATACTGTTTATGTATTTGATAAATGTATTTGATGATAAATAGTATTTATCAAATAAAATTATGTTCTTATACATTAATTTCATTATCTAAATAATAAATGTTGATTAGTCAGCAAAAACTCAGCAGTAATTAATTTAAAACGAAGTTGAAAAGCAAACACATATATATATATATATATAATATTATGAAATACGAAAATATTATTATTTTTTATTTTTTTTTATTAATGCTATATTTGTGCACCAGTTGATCTAATAGAAGTGCATGGATAACACGAAAAAAAATTGCACGAATAATAAGTTAAATAATATTTTAATGTATATGCAGTGCCAGTTTCATCGAATTTTTATCAAATTCACATTTCACCTTAGAACCTCTTTTAAGGTGGAATAACTACTTATCCAAGCTGTGAATTATTATCAAATTTTTGGTGGCACTTTTAAGTGCAATGTAGATTAGTTTGTAATTTTTTCATAATTTTTCATTATTTTGAATTATAGGCAATATATCTTTAAGGTGCATCCTATCAAGTGTGACGTCACAAATGTTACGTTTACGACGGTGAACATTCTAATTGCTACAAATTTATTTCTCCGAATAAAAGGCAATGAGGCATTGTCCGGCGAGGCACCTAATTACATCGGAAATGTAATAGCCCGTAGAATATACTCCTGATACCCGCCTACGCGCACACGTACACGTGAATACACACGCGCCCCAATAAGTAATGCACAGGTATATCCACTGGGTGTTCCTGGATATCTGTGTAACGACGATGGTAAGACGGAAAATACTCAAATCTATATTTCATCACGACTTTCGAAATTCGCCATGTTAAATGTCCGTGATCGACGAACCGTGAAATTAACGTCGCGTTAAATTCGCTCGAACGTTAAGTGACGCTAACAAGATGCATTTAATATAAACGTTCTAATTTATTACTGAGATTTTATCGATACCACCCGCCATCATCCAACGATGAAGAAGCGATCGCTAGACCTCGCAGAAAGTAAATACCGTTTCACCGTTTCATTACTGAAAAGCGTTCGCGGGCACCCGATATGAACGCCCCGTAAAACGGTGTCACCGTCGCCGTTGGGGTCGTAGAGATGCGGCGAGCTGTTCTGCGAGTAGGCGGGGATTATTAATGACCACGAGCCGCTTTATCTTTTCCACTTCCTGTTCGGGATACATAATACGTGGGCCTCCTCGCGCAGTCGTTGCATCGCGCCGCAATATCGTGCGTACGACTTCGGGGGCCATGCGATGCCGCGTATACCATCTCTCGTGCTCTCGTAAACTACGGCTCGAGCACCGGGCTCGCGGCCGCGAATTTATCATTGCGGAATCGCGCCTGCATCGCGGCAAGGAATTACCGGAACGAACGATTAATCGTCATTATCCCACGATCAACGTGAACACGCGGAAAACTTCGATGAAATGTCGCCGGATATTCGATGGAATGTCGCCTACGTCAACAGTTAAATAATTTCAACATTTCCACAGGGCACAGGCGATTATAACGTATAAAGAGTAATCCTATTATCGTGGTATTAAATAATGTGGTATTAACGCCGGCGCGAAGTGTGAAAAGATTTCCATACGATTCGCCAAATATAACGTACACGAACGATGCCGCGTTTGCTGACAAAATATGAATATTTTATTATATCTATACAATAAAGTGTTACATTTATCAAATTTCACGTGTTCCAAACGGTTTATACAAATTTTTGTATTAATTTAACACAAAGTGAATATGATGAAAAATAATACAAATATTACATCATAAACATTAAGACGAAATTAATATTCATAATATATTAATCGTCACTAAAAGGAGTATAAAATGTGTTATTTTAATATTTACACATATTGAATATCAACTCGATATAAAATATATTGAGATAACATAAACACAATATGTTAAATTAACGTGTATGTTAAAAATTTAACACCAAAGTTTTAACAAGGATCTTAACACAAGTACAAAATGTTTTTTAACTGTGTACGTAGTGTATTTTAGCAATTAATTAATATCACCGATCGATCTTTAATTTCCGCAGAAATAGTTCACTCAATCAACAATTTGTTATAAATTTAAGAAGGAGAAGACAGAAAGCGACTATGGCGGCTTCTTACTCGCGAAATTAAAGAACACGTAGAAATGCGATCGGCGTAGTCCTTTATGCAACATCCCAAAGACACCCTTCTTCTCCTCCCGCGCCCTACGTCCCTGCCAATTCAGCAGACGAGAAATAGGTCGGGACCTTTGCGTGCGAGGACTTTCGAGGGGTAGATTCAGATTTCCGATATTATTTGCTTTGTACCGTGCTACGAGCAAGAAAAGATGGAGGGGAAAAAGAAGGAGGAAGAAAGGTACAGAGAGAGGAACTGTGCAAATCCTCGGGAATAAGAGACGAACACCAGCGGAGGGACACGGGGCCGTCTCCCCCTCTTGAAAATCGCCTCGCCTATAATAAGCTCAAACGATTGCCTCGCGAAATTGCTTTTCTTCAAACAGAGGCGTTTGATGTCGCGGCGTCTCCTTTTTGACGGATCGTAATCGCGGCCATGCTTGACGAGCACTCGCGAGCAGTGCTGAACACCGTTGCGAGGCTTTACCGCTCTTTTCGATCGCCGCCGCTTTGTATTTCGTATTCATGGGAAAATGGTCGACACGAAAATTTGTTCCGTACATAGGGCATAGACGATTATAGGGCGTAGAGAATAATCCTATTATCGCGGTATTAAATAGCGCGGTATTAACGTCGACATTCACAGAGTGAGCACAAGAAGCGCTCTATGATTCGATAAACATAATCCTCGGGCAATACGGATACCAACAAAATATATTGAATGATTTTCGTATCAGTAATTTAGCAATTAATTAATACCGTTAATGCCGTTAATTAATACGGCACGGTTGAGATTATATTTAAATATCGATATTGTATATTCGAAAGCACATACAGACAAATATTCTCGATTTATAAGACTTCTCGCCAGTAAAAGATTAGGTATAATGAAAGCAAGTTTTGTGCCAGAGATTTTAAGATTTCTTATTCATCCTATGAAGTGGGATATGACTTTATACAAACTTTCACCGTGTTTCTACTTGCAGCTCCTTTACATCCTGGACACTCCATGGGACAGGCATCAGGTACCGATAGATTTTCCACGGGAATGTCTGGTCCTGGATTTGTTGACGGGTAAATATATCATCCTTCTGTACCTATAACATAAATATGAAGTTATTTGGAAACTTTTCTTTTACATTTTCTTTTTCGCATAATACGACAATATAATACTGTCAAGAAAATACAAAGCATCTGAGCACGATAAAGCAAATCGATTTGAAGAAGAAATTTGCGTGTCAAATAAACTATTCTTAGATATCCATATCTCTCCTTTTCTCTCATATATCATATATCATATTCAATCGTGACATACATCATTATTTGATATTACCTTTCACCCTATAATAGCAACTTTCAATATTAACGAGAGAGTAGTTTCTATGTTTATCGAATACAAAATCTATCTTTTATTCGAGAAAAGCGCTTATGCGATTGTTGGAAGTTGCATGAAACGTAATGGCCGACGTTTCGCGAATGCTAAAACTACGAATTTAAATTGAGTCGATATATACAAGATTTGCGCGATTTATTGAACATTTAATGCATTATAACTGAAATCTAAGATAATAGCACGAAGAATTTCTATGCAACAAGTAGAATAGTAATAGAAAACATAACCTACGATGCCGTAAACATCTGAATGACGAATTTCGTTGATCGAGGTCGATGGCGCGTTTTACACTAAATTCAGTTATCTCTACATTCACAGCGGCAAACGGCTACTCATAAGATCACGACCCGTAGCGACATCTGTCGCCGATCCTCATTATCGACGAGTAGATATAATTTGTGTATCCATAATATAGTCAGTCATGAATAGATTGCAACTTTTTTCTATAAATTCCGGAACGCATCCAATAGGAGAATTTGTTTTTTTTAGTAATTCTCAAAAAATATATTTTTCTATTGAATATGGGGTACGTTGCGAAAAAAAATCATTGCAACTTTTCCTCAGATAGTCAGACCCCAGAAGCAGATTTTGCGCAGTATCTATAAATTTTATCGGCAGCCTGCTGACGAAAATAAATACAACACGGATTTGCTAACAAAGTTTGCTAACAGATTGAGGATAAAAACCGAGCAGGATCTGACGTTTCGTCACCATTTAAATAGAACATACTGTAGATCCTGTTCAGTTTCTGCCGCCAATCTGTTGTTAAATTGTCAGAAGACTCTGTTGACAGAACACGAGCCTAATGCGGGCTCAGGATGGTTATGGATCTGTTATGGTATTCTGACCGAATCTGTTGCCAATCTGCCGGCATACTGCTAACATTTCGCTTACTGGAATTTGTGACTGACCATACAAAGTTATGATGTGATGTCGTAGTATATATTATCAATAAGATACATCTGAATACAATAACGTAAATGAATTTGAAAAAGAAATTTGCATGCCGATTAAGCTATTCTTAGAAATCGTATCTCCTCCCCATCCTTGTCATATATTATTCAATCATGATATATATATATATATATATATATATATCAGCATTTCGCATTATTTTCCATGTTATAACCAAGAGCAATTTATTGTAATGCTAATGGGAGATAAGCTTTTTATGTTTATAAAGACAAAATCTATCTTTTATGCGAAAGAAATTCTTACGCGACTATTTAAAATTGTATAAAGCATATGAGATAATGGCCGACGCTTTGAATGCTAACTACAAATTTCGTTTAAGTCAGGATATGCAACATTCGTGTGATTTATCGAACATTTAATGCGTTTTAAGTGAAATCTGAGGTGATAGTATAAAGAATCACTATGCAACAAATAGAATGGTAATAAAAATCCTACTCTCTGAGAACGTGAACTCTCCGAACGGCGTATCTCGTTGATCAAGACGAATCGCGCGTTTTACACTAAATTCAATCGGCTTTTACGTTCGTAGAGCGGCAAACCGCCACTTACAAAATCGCGACTTGTAGCGACATCTGTCAGAAACTCGCATCAACGACCTCTGACTTAGTGGCTGTTTACGGCGCCTAAACGCCAGTTTACAAACGGACACCGGGTGTGGCGTGGAAAGAAGGAAGAGTGCGGTGTCTGTATGAGCTTTTAACCAAATGTTTTGACAATTAATTTGTAAATTATGAAGCTACTCTTGTACCTAGTATTATTACAAAATACGTGTATTTTTGTACGATTCGTAATTAGCACCGGAAATGTTAACGCGACAGATGCGAGGTAATATTCCATGTTGTTTTATTGTTTTCAGGTTATGCCTGAAGCGATGTATTTTTTTTCTAAATAACTTGGTTTCTTAATCGCGCTCTCGATACCATTGATAAGTATCTGATAGCTCAATAACGATGAACTTGCCCTCGTTCTTCGCATAAGAAACTCCGATTATTCTGAAAAAATCCAGCTTCTTTTTACATTTATCAAGGTTATGTTTTGAAATAGCCAGCATCTTTTTTATTACAAATCATCACATAAAAGTGTTATGAATGATAATTACCACATCGGTTATCGATATAATTTTATCGAAAATATTGAAAATAATGTTATACAAAATCCAGAGTACAAGAAAGCTGTAAATGCAAATATGACATTCCTTGTTATTATATTTTTTTTGCTAATAAATCAGTGATACACGATTATATTGCATGTATTGTATGGCAGGAGCATGGGAAATGGAGACATGTTGGACATCTCAGGGAATGGAATGTCCACACCTCACATTTCTCACCTGGCATCTGCAAATCCCTTCAGTATACTTTCGCCAAGCCCACAGCCAACTAGCTCACAGTCCAGCACCATGGATTTTAATATCGGCGGCCTTACTAATGGCAATATGCAATTCCCTCCCAATGTGAATTTTGATGAAATATCAGGCATAAGTTCAATTCCAAGCAGAAAGGACAATCATAAAGGAACTTGTGAGGTTTGCATACCATTGCATTATCATATATACATATATATGTAGAGATACAAATTTTTCTAATATAAAAGAAAATTATAAAGCGGTGAAATTTTTTTCAGGTGTATATAGGAAAAACATGTGCCCAATTTGTAGGAAACCAATCAGTTTACATTATACATCCCATGACACAGAAAATGCTCGAGGAGAAATTAATGAAGGCATTTCAAGTTATCAATTTTTCAAAGTGAGTAATGTTAGGATGTGTTAGTGTTAAGTATGTGCCAAATTAGTAGAAAAATTTCCGTGTTTCTCATTGCACAGTGAACTGTCCTTAAATTGTGAAGGATACGCAAAACCGTCTCTCTGTTATTCCGCCTTTCCTATATGCCGCGACCAGTTCAACAGTCAGAAGCCCAAGAACACGGAGGCGAGTACACAGCTGTTCAATCTTCTGAACTCTAAGCAGGATGATATCTTGGACGATGGAGATCGCGATGACACGGACGATTTCGCGCGATTACACGGAATTCCCAAGAAACGTAGCCCCACATTGGGCCCAGTTTTCGACTTTATGCCCAACGAGGACGGCAAGTCGAGTAATAAGAAGATAATCAATCAGAGCTATGGGGACGCGCGGTCAGCCGGCCGAAACGAGATCAATCGTAAATTACGGAGGATATGTCGTGAGGAGTGCGAAATGCTGGAGAACGAATTGTGCAGGAAGGAATACGCGATAGCGAAGAGGCACCCATTGATCGGGCATCAAGTGCCTTTGGTTGAATGTTCCGACTTGCCGTTGGAGGGAACGACAGAAGCCCGAGATTGCTTAACTCTCGGGTTATCCGCGGCAAATAATGTGCAAGAGAGTGCGTATCTTTCTGTATCGATGTGCACATCAAACGTTAAAATCATCACTAAAGACCTGGGGAAACTATGTTAGATTCTTTATGTATTCTTTGCAGATGACTACTGCTACTGGGGTAGCGGGAAATCCTATCGAGGAACTATTAAGACGAGTGTGAGTGGAAGGCCGTGTTTACAATGGTCTCATCACTTCAATCTTCAGATTTCTGATTATCCCGAATTGGCTGGCCGTCATTCTTACTGCCGGAATCCCGGCGGAAAGGAGTCTCAACCATGGTGTTACGTCGATGTCAATAAAAGAATGCAAAAAGAGTTTTGCAATATACCTAAATGTGGTGAGTTTATAGAATATACACAATTAAACACACACACACACACACACACACACACACACACACACACACACACACACACACATATATATATGTATATATATATATATATATTGTCTATTTTATTACACAGAGATTAACAAAAAATCGACGTTCTTTTGCTTTCAGTTGAAAATTTGTGGATTTACGCGGTCGTTGGATTTGTAATAATGGGAGGTTTCGTTACCATATTGATATGTTATTGCTGCTGCTATAGAAGTAGAAAGTCCAGACGACAAATGAATCATTTACCGTCAAATAAAGTAAGCACACTGATACGTTTGCGAATTAGAAGTGACGAGTGCGGTTGGTGACATTAAAATAATACAATTGATTTCGACAGATGTTGACTGGTATTCAATGTGATAAAAACATTTACGATGGGAGGAGAAGCACTACACAACCCATGGAAATGAGTTCTCTCTTGGCAGGGCCTGGTAATACGACACCAGGCACTGGTACCCTTAGCAGTGGTAGTAGCAGAACTTCTAATAATAGGATACCCCAATTTACTACAAATAACGTCGTACTCTTGCAAGAACTCGGTGAAGGTGCATTCGGTGAGTATAGAACAATTGTATATTTTTCACTGTTGAGATGCGACGAACGACCCACGCATAAACTAATATCAATTATTTATACAGGAAAAGTTTACAAGGGCGAGCTGCAAACCGGTAACAAATGCGAGCCTCCTATTTACGTGGCGGTGAAGACGTTGAAAGAAAATGCGACTCCGAAAACTCAGAGCGACTTCAGACGAGAAGTCGATCTCATGACGGACTTGAGGCATCCGAATATCATTTGTCTGCTTGGCGTGATATTGAAAGGCGAGCCGATGTGCATGCTCTTCGAATATATGACTCAGGGAGATCTACATGAATTTCTTATCTGCCATTCTCCGAGATCGGATGTGCCATTAAACAACAGTGGCGGAAAAATTCTAGAACAACCTGAATTCTTGCATATCGCGTTACAAATTGCATCAGGTAGATATTGCATTAATGTACCTTATAATCAGGGTTGGGTAATAACTAGTTACCAGCTAAAAGTTAAGTTAAAAAATTAATAACTTTTAACTTAACTCAGTTAATTGTAAATGAGTTAATTTAACTTTTAACTTGAACTAATTAATTTAAAATTAATTTCAATTTTTTAACTTTTTTATATAAATTGAAATAATTAATCAATATATTGAAATTGAAATTTATATAAATTGAAATAATTAATTATTGATTAATTAATTAATTATTGAAATTTATATAAATTGAAATAATTAATCAATATAATTAATTAATAAATTGAAATAATTAATCAATATTATTTCGAGGGCTGCTTTACAATATAAAATCAAAGAAAAGTTAAAAGTAATGCCAGCAGAATTATTTTGTCTCTTTAAACTAGTATTCTTTTCTTGCATGGAATGCACAATACCATCATACTTTTTTATACTAGACTATCTTTCCTTTATTTAACATAAATTTAATAAGAAATGCAAAAAATATATAAATAATTTTGCATAATTTACTTTTAACATTGATAAGTTAATTTAATTTAACTTATAATTGAATTAGTTTTGGTTTAGGTAACTTTTAGCTTAACTAAGTTAATTTTATAGGGCATTAACTTTTAATTTAGTTAAAAATAAAAATTAATTTATCTAATCCTGCTTATAATATATATTTAATTTATGGCTTTATTGTGTATTATAAACTGCTTGATAATGTTATAACTATTAAAAATATATGATAAAATATATATATAAAATACATGCTCTTGATTATGTTAGAATGACTTTATAATTATATATTTGTTTTCTATAGGCATGGAATATTTGGCTAGCCATCACTACGTTCACCGCGACTTGGCAGCACGAAATTGTCTAGTAGGCGATAACCTGACGGTCAAAATCTCGGACTTCGGTCTATCGCGAGACATATACAGCAGCGATTACTACAGAGTTCAATCGAAAAGTCTGCTACCTGTTCGATGGATGCCGCCCGAGTCGATTCTTTATGGCAAATTCACCACTGAGTCGGACGTGTGGAGCTTCGGAGTTGTGCTTTGGGAAATCTACAGCTATGGTCTACAGGTAATAATCAAATAACACTATCAAAGCGATAACTTATTTCTAAAATTTTTCACATTTCTATCTCTATATATCACTCATTTCAGCCATACTATGGATACAACAATCAAGAAGTTATCGACATGATTCGCTCGCGGCAGCTGTTACCGTGTCCCGAGGACTGTCCTACGATGATCTACAGCTTGATGATCGAGTGCTGGCACGAAGTGGCGAATCGCAGGCCGCAGTTCCCGGAAATCCACCATCGTCTACACAATTGGTACATAAATCAAACGTACTTGAGCGACTTCTGCAACGAATCAATCACCAGTTACTCCGGCAGCAGTCACAAGAGCACGAACAAAACCAACTCGACGCAGCTGTCGGCGCCCATATACAAAAGCGACCAGAAAACGGAGCCGCCGGCGGTCTGCAATCTCAACGACCACAGCAACGCGATAAAGATGCTACCGCCATCGACAACCTTCTCGAACTCCAACTGCATCGATCAAAGGCCGAACTGCGCCTTCAACGAACACGTAACATCGATGAAGACGCCTAATTATCAGAACCCCGCCCCGAATGTCAACCTAAACGACGTCTACGACGACAAGCAATGTTGCTCGCCCAAGTTGAGCGGCGCGAAAAAGGTCTTGCCGGCGGTGCCTCAGATGGGTGGCAAACCAAACGGGCCTACCAACGGCAGACCAATGCAGAATGGCGCACAGTTGGTCGTCAGGTTACCGGATCCCAGCAAAGTCACGACCGAGACCAGGGTATCGAAGTGAGCGACTTTTTGCGCTTTAACTGCGTCTAATAATTGTCTGAGCATCAATAACAGCGTGTGCGCATCCCCACGCTACTGGTGTCATTTTCTCGGTGCGGGCAGTAACGGTATTTCATGCTTGATTGGCGATATTTGTCGGTAAATTAAACTATTGGAAAGCGACCACTACACAACAAGTTGGGTGCGAATCACGTACGTCTCGAATAACCAAGATACACCGAAATGTATCGGATTGTGGTATCGCAACCACCTGTTACTGTTGTTGTTTTGTCGTCTTTTTAATTATTAATTTACCGTACCGGCAGGAGTGTCGTTAACGCATTATTACGGAGCATCGTTGCAGGATAGATACGGAGAACTCACTCAATCACTGCCATATACGTGTATCTTCGCGCCATTAATGGATACTTTCTCGAAACGAACAGGATAGATACAGAGAGCTACAACACTAATCACTGCCATATACGTGCATTTATTTATTTTTACAAATATACACGCCTATTTTATATTGCCTTTTTTACTTTGAGTGATTGTAATGTCTCACTACGCAATATCGTAAGCTTGATACGTACATACACAGGATATGAAATGTCATGTTCTAACATGATTCCATTCGCGATTTTACGTCGAGAGTGAAATTTTTAAGATGTATTTGTACCTTTCTATTTTTACGAGAAAATTAAGATGTTTATGGTAATGAATTATTTATATTTATCTGTAAGTTATGCAAAAAAAGAAACAGATGATTAGTGGATGGTTATATCACTTCGATACCGCAGAAAAAGAATGAAACATGAATTTGCAGAATACACTATCGACAGGCGTTGATATTTACATTAAAACCAATGTTTAATCATGCATGCTCTGTCCAAAGAGTATAATATTGTATGGAATATTGTTATGCTCTATACAAGGCATACCTTATGTGAATCATGTTTTTGAATAACCTTTACACAATTGTTCAAAAAGATTTGTATGCGAGCACGTGCGATCGCATATGTATTGTAATAAGAAGAATTGAGAAAATGAGATTGAGAGAAAAGGGGGAGAGAGAGAGAGAGAGAGAGAGAGAGAGAGAGAGACAAAAAGTATGTGTGTGTATGTGTGTGCGTGTTTTATGAATGTACGTTGTTTTCTAAAAAGCAATTTTTATAATCGTCATATCGTATGCCAAAATCTGGATCATAGTAAATATCGACTGTTAACAAAAAGAGAAAAAGTATTCAATTTGTACATTTTTATAATAATTGCATACGTATTTTATCAATAAATCTCTCTTTGAGGTCATTCTTTTAACGGAAAAACGTAATTTATTGCTGCAATTGTATCATACGTTGATTGAAACATTTTATTTAATCATACAGAGCTGATATTCTTCTCAGTCTCTTCCTAATTGTACAAAATTTTGAATTATAATAGGTGAAAAATACAACTTTTGTGTCGGAGCTCCCTGCAGTACGTATCTCTGCTGGGCGTATCTCTATCTCGTAAATTTCTCCTCGAGAGCCTTTTGCGCTTTTCAATATTTAATACAGCATAAAATTATATGTGGAATTAACATACTCTTTTCCTGGAGACTGAGGAAAATACGTAGCTTAGATGCGTGAAAGTGGATTAATTTATTCTGGTATTCATGGTTGCGCCATCACTGCGCACTGTAAGTATCCACAGATACTTGATATTAGCGTATAATCGTACCATCGCTAACAAGTGAGGTGAAATTCATCACGGCGAAATGTCTCGGACGCTTGTTATTTTTCTCGCGTGTCCTAAAGCGACCCCCTGACCTCGGAGATGCGAATGACTGAAATTCGATGCTCGTGAACATTCGGCGATATTAAACGGGGAAGTGTCAGCGTTCGTGTGTAAATTATATTTGTTATTCGTGTATAGGACGTAGTATGTACATCCTGACAGACGATGAAATACCGCCTGCGTCGGTCCTCGATCGAACGATAATCTCTGTCTGATCATCCGCCGATGAACCACGCGAAATCGATGCCACTCTCACAATCGAAGTAATGAATATTAGCGCTGAGAGCGATTGGGTAATGGAGATGTAGAATTAAAACGGCATCCAAAGGGAGACTGTATTATACTTTTTGTAATTTTTTATTAACGAAGAAACGTATAAAGAGCGTTCCGTTCGCGTGAAAATGTGAAAGAAAAACAAAAGAAAAGAAGACTGGATTTAACGAACTGACTCATCCCGCGGATTTTTAGCTGCCACGTCCGTTGATTGGATGTGTATGATCGCGATGATCAGAGAGTGGCGTGGAAAATGCTATTGATTTAAGATAATAAGACTTCTAGAACTGACGAACCTCCGAATCGAAATTTGTATCGATTGATAATCCCGACCGCCTCGAAGGTTTGCCACGGAAACCTTAGACTTAAGTTAATTTATGTCGAATAAACTTCAGCGAAGAATTATATACTTAAGAACTTTATATATTCAGTCAAGTATAATATACATTTCATGTTTTTCGTACAATGCGACTAGTCATTATTTTTCCTTTTCAAGGACGTAACGTAGATGAAGCACCCGCAGTGAAAGCCTCTGTTGCGTAGTTTACTACAAAGTGGTCGTTCTTACCAACTCCAATCGAGTAAGTTGGAGAAACTTGAGATTAACATTTATAAAAACAATATAAACGACAAATTATAGACAATTTTTATTATTTACACGTATTCTAAATTAATTTTCTAATATTTTTTGCATACGAATAATAACATAATTTATTCGTGTTAGGTGTATATTATCTTTGAAATTTAAATCGTAAGAGTAAAAAGAACGAACACGTAACAATGGAAAGATATAACAACATGATATTTATTATATATATATAATCTTGACAATATGTAAGAGAAAGAGAGGGAACAATGTCTCTTCTTTCGATAATAATTTCTTTGGATGCTTACTCAAAGTTGGTAAAGATGCATTCAATAGATAAAATAAAGTATCGATTCTAAAATGTACAAAATTTTCTAAAAAAGAGTAAAGCAGAAAAAAGGATTGTATCAAATCGCAGCGTTTCCTATTAGAAACTAATGTATATAGATAACTAATGTATAACTGTGACAAATGCTCAACACTTGATGCTCAACGCAAATTACGCTATTAATATGCGGTCATATAAACCGCAGAACATAATCCGTGCTGCACACACGGTTTCCTATGTATTCATTGCCTCGATATTAAACGCTATTGATTACGTTGCATATAAATTGTAAAATAGATTTGTAGGCTGTGCATTATTATTATGTGTTGCAAGGTTGTTTTCGATAATGACAGCACGCATTTAATCTGTGGTTTGCGCACTGCAAGTTACTTCGTGATCTCGTGTATGGCGTGCGCCAAATACTCCACGTTCTTCGACGTTACACCAGCCATAGAGATACGGCCGTCCTTGGTCAAGTAAATGCTAAAATCTTTCGTGAGTCTTTCCACCTGTCGGGAAATCGATAAGGGATAAAATAGAGACGATAGAATCGAGAGAAATTTTCTCACTGAAAAATTGATGTAAACATCAATTTAATCGCAATTCATTCAAGAGAACTAAAGACTGAAACGAGAAGAAAAATATATTGACTATTTTTTTCTCTACAGTGCAGATATAATTTAATTAAGCATCGACATTTCCAACGTTCTCAATAGTGATGATTGAAAGTATCCCGTTAAATTGATAAGTAATTAAATAAGAATTATTAACTATAAACATAAGTATTGATATAAAAGTTTTGTCTCTAATGTTACTTAATTTTTAAATGATTATAAATATTATTTAATGATAAGAGGTAACTCACTTCGTTCGGTTTGAGGCCAGTGTAGCAGAACATACCGATCTGATCGGTAATGTGCGACCAGTCGCGGGTGCTACCGTTCTTCTTCAGGTTGTCACGTAACGTTGTGCGAACCGAGATGATGCGATCAGCCATACCCTTCACGTCGCGCAGCCATTCCTTCTTCAGCTCCGGATCGCCCAAGATCTCGTTCACGAGCCTGGCGCCATTAATCGGCGGATTCGAGTACATCGGCCTAATTAGAATCTTCAACTGCGACAGACATCGTGCGGCTTCCTCCTTACTCTCGCATACCAAAGTAAACGCTCCAATACGCTCTCCTAAAAAATAAGAGAACATATAACACGATCTATCCAACTTATCTATACGTGAAGTTTATACACGTCAAATTACTGATTAATTATCGTAAACGTAGCAGGTCACTGAATCTTTTTTGTATCTCTGTATCTCTTATATTAGATTTTATATATTTTTACTTGTACTCACCATATAGACCCATATTCTTCGCATAAGATTGAGCCAAAGCTATTTTGTGACCTTCCTTAATGAACAGTCTAACTGCAGTAGCATCCCTTGAGAGGTCTCCTGCAGATAAAAAAAGCGAATCGGGATGAGATAACAAGCTAGTATTAAAATTTTTCAATTCAAAGTAGTTTCGTAATCTGAATCATAAATTTATCTATGAAATGTAACTGATGACGAAAGAGTGATTATTAGTAACTTTTTAGTAACTTGTAGATACCTGAGGCAAAACCTTGATACGCCATGTCAAAGAATGGGAACAAATTTTTCTTCTTAATCAAAGTGGATAATTCTGACCACTGTTCCGGTTTCGGGTCGACACCAGTTGGGTTGTGAGCACAAGCATGCAGAAGGATAATCGATTTTTCGGGAATATTCTGTCGACGCAAACATTAATTAGTAAGTATTAATCTCAAGGATTATTGCAACACCAACAAATATAATACAATATTAATTTTACGAATGATTATGAATCTCTTATCAATTTGTATTATTAATTATTCGTTTTCCAAGATTATTATTAATATTATAGAAATACGTGCTTCTATTAGTATATAGATATTGGTTATGTTTAGTGAGATAAACAGCAAGTTTTATATGGTTTAGAACGATTATATTCTTTCCTGATAAAAATTTTATACTAACAGATATATCTTCCATTACTCCTTGAAAATCTAAACCACAGGTCCTTGGATCATAATAACGATACGACTTAACCGTGAGTCCAGCGAGCCTGAACAAAGGAACATGATTTCCCCAGGAAGGAGTCGGCAGATATATGTCCTTGTTGCCTGAGAAATGATGAGATAAGAATTGTGCACCAACAAATAAAGAACCAGTGCCAGAAATTCCTTGAACTGTGGCGTTCTAAAAAAAAGTGTCCTTGTAAAGAAAGAACTATATATAATTATGCATTATAGCACTCACCAATCCATTTGCCACAACTTCGTTTCCATCTCCTAGGGCTAGATTAATACTGTGTTGGCAAAATTCAGCGCTACCAGCAATTGTAGAATATTCTTTGTCCATTTCTTTAATTCTTATCTTCTCTTCTGCCTATTACCAGTCACATATATATATTTTATAAAGAATATTTAGAAAATTTATATATATATTTTGCAAACACATAAAATTTCGAGTTATCATTGAAAATGGCTATTCTTTAATTAATAACTAAAAAATGTACGTGTTACTTGCACAAAGGTAAAGGATTTTTTACTCAGAGTGACCTAATCTACAAGTATAAAGCACAAGACATCAATATATCAAACCTTGAACCTTGAACTTTGAATCTGTCGCTAAGCACAACAGCTGTCATATACTTGTAGATTAGATTATTCGAAATAAAAATCCTTTATCATTTTGCAAATAACACAGCAATTTCTGAGTTAATAATTAAAGAAACTTTTATACATGGCCATTTTCAATAATAACTTGAAATTTTGCATGTTGTTGGCAAAATAATAGAGGACTTTTTTGTCCACTTCAATCTGTTTTATGCCCTAACGAAGTTTGCCTGTGTTGGTCTAAGACATTTTCTATATATATTTATATATATTTATATACAAATGTATTCTATAGAAAAAATATTTTATTTAAAAGATAACATTTTATTTATACACTGACCTTACGAACACTAGGAAGAACAAATGGTTTACCATTATCATCTCTGTAAGCACCTGCACCTAAATTAATTTTCTTAGAATTCTGGTCTCTCTTGTATGCTTCTGTAACCCCCAAAATTGCATCTGGTGGTCCCATCTCTACTTGAGACCACCATGAGCTGCAATACATAAAGTTATATTTCATAATCTGCTGTCCTTTAATAATTATCTTGTATGTATCAGAGAGATGATATAAAGCAAAAAAATATAAAAGTTACATGATATAAAATAAACTTTATTGAAAAGCAGATAAATTATAATTATCAAATTATAAGATAAGTTTATAAATTACAATAAAAATTCTATAGCATTCATATAATAAAGCCAAGCTATTCCTTAATACATTATTTAAACATTCAAATTAATATAATTAGCTAATTAACGATTAAATAATCAAGGTGCTAAAGTAACTAAACCAACTATATTTTCAGGAAGTTCTATCATTGGAATTTCATTATAGAATCTAGACAATCTTGTGAAGGACGAAAGGTCACAGATTTAATATGTTAAAAATTAACAGTTCACATTACCTTGCGGATCTTATAGCCATTGACAGAGAGTTGTAAACGCTTTTCAAACTAGAAGTAGTTGCGATCAGCCTTGTTGTATGAGCCATTTAGTGCGATAAAATTCTCGCGATCTCCTTGATCCTTTTGAATCTGGGCAAAAGTTAACCTCGATTGGACTTTATCCGACCGGAACGCTGACGTCTGCGACGACACAACTTGTCGAGTCGAGGAGGGCGACTCGTTATACATCACATGATCATCCAGCATTGGAAAAAGATCATAAACAACTTTCCATTATCAGCGCGATTACACTGTTGCGAATCTTATTAACTTTATTTCTCTCTTGCGTAACACTTTAAAAACATCCTTTCGATATGTTGACATCATACGATAAGTCGAGAAAATATATAGCAAATTTAATTATCTACGTTACTCTGCATGGCTGCAGAAAAGCGAGAAATTTTTCTTTTTTTTGAGGGTTTCAAATGCATTTTTGAAATTCTCCACATTATTGCATCCTTAACCTTCATGCAGTTTAATTAAGCGCTAAATAGAGCTAATAGCGTCTCTCCGAACGCACCCTTAAGCTAGTATCAAACTACGGATTGGAGGTTGAGATTGAATTGAAATTTGACCAATCAATGCAAAGTTCACTAAATTTCACTAAACTTGAGCTCAGTTAACTTTATACTGATTGGCTAAATTCAATCTCAATCTCTTATCCGCAGCCTGATATAGGCATTAGAGAAAATATTAGGGACTCTAGAAATTCTCTATCCGATAGCCAATTGGCACATCCAACAAACACTGAGGATGCGTACGACGCATCCTCATTGAACAAACATCGATGTTTTTCGAACATCTCTACTCGGGACCAATTAACAAGTAAGAGAAGGTTATGTTTACGAAATTGGCGCCAATTTGTTATTGACGTACTGATCTTTCTGACGTAAAAGTGTTTCATACGATTGCAAGATACGCATACGATAATGGTCCGACGAAAATCCTCACCGAGGTTATTATCGTGATATTGTTATAATTCAATAAAATGTCGGAGATAACAGTGCTTATCGATACTTTTTGTTTCCTATTTTTCTGCAATCTCTCAGTTCTTTCTCATATTCAATATCATTTTATTTAATAATAGAATAATTATCATAAGAATTTCTATTATCTAATTATTTCTGACAATATACACAATAGTATTATTATTATAGTTGGGAAACCAATATTATCCACGTAATGGAAGCATTATCTTTATTATTACATAAGTAACAAGGGCTTATTATTTTTTTTCTTAACTTTAGCAACTTTGTATAACTTATTAAATATATTTCAGATCACTCAGTGTACGTCCTCGAGAAGAGAAGCGAAATAATGTAAGTAATAAATTTCCAAACCACTATTCAAGATCTATCCAACTATATCATTACATTAGATCTTGAATCATTAAATAGATCTTTTAATGATTACTTTTAGACAGACATAATCACACATAAGGGAAAGAAGCAGTCTAGAGTATTAAGGGAAATTAAATATCTGAGAAAGTCTACTAACTTGTTAATTCCTAAAATAAGTTTTGCACGTTTGGTCAAAGAGATTATTATAGAAATATTTCCACGACAAGATATTAGCAGGTAAATATGATTTTCCTGATTGTTTGTATATAATTCTACATATTATTAAGGATTTACAAATGGGCGATTTATAAAAGGGTGTCAAATCTTTGGTCATATTTCTTTTATTAATAATAACAAAACAATACGAGCTATGTTTAATCGTAGTATTGTTTTATTATTACTTGCTACTTTCTGTTACATTATTTTCTGTCCAATCACTTTCAAATAATTGTTTGATTTTACACCTGTAGCATGACATATTTTTAACCAATTAAATTATCAATCTAACAAATTTTATAAGCTCCTAATATATGGTTCCGTTAGGCCTGTATTCATTTTTAAGATATATGAAATGTCAAAATAAGATATATTATGATGCACACACACACACACACACACATGCGCGTGCGAGCGCGCAATCCTGTTAAAAGCACTATGTATTACAAATACTTTTTAAATTTTTTAAATAGTATACCTCATAGGAAAACATCAGTGAGTATAATTAGTTCAGGTAGCATTTAATGGTTGAAGAAGAGTTGACTACATCATAAACTACAACAACATAAAAGATCATTATGATACTTCGCAGGATGCAAGCATCCGCTCTCGAAGCCCTGCAAGAAGCAACGGAGATGTACATCGTACAGTTTTTCGAGGACGCGGTGCTACTGACGTTACACGCGAAACGCGTGACCCTGATGCGCCACGATATGATTCTAATGCGTAGACTGCGCGGTCGTGACGATATCATCAACCGATAATAAGATCTCGTTTCTACATTTTTATACTACCGGTCTTTATCTTTAATTCGTTCTTATGGAAAGATTCAGTTTAAGATTCGGGAACGCGCAAAGGTTTATAGCAACTTATGTAATAATTCAAGTTATAAACAATATGAAATAAAAATCTATAAGCTTTAAGAAATCGCAATGATATCAAAAATAAAATCTAACGCGTTGCACATAATTCGATTAGCATTTCGAACGATCTAAGACAAAAGTTAAAACCGGCATAAATTTAGCAAGTTCAATTTTTTAGTATATTAAATATGCGAAAGAGAAAGCGAGATGTTGAATGTTAATGTTTCATTTGATTACAGTATGTAAACTTCGCGTAATATTAAACATAGCAGGTATATTATTATATGCAAATAGTTTCTAAATATAAATTCCTTGGTATTATATTGCTATTAACCTCTGTTTAAAAGAATAGAAGTATTTTAAGTGTAAGAAGTATTATTACGAGACTCAGGAACACGCGATAAATTCATTGTTACTTACGAGTTAATATTCAGTTTATATCAATATTCGATTTATATTTGTAATATTTATAAAATATATTGACAGCGCAAAAATTTCTTTTTTTCACGATGATTGTGTATTTTGTAAATTTTATTCAATGTTGAACTAGGCTTGACATGACGATAATGTGCCGTATATGTTTTTTTTTTCTATATGTATGAGATTATTTTTGTATACGCGTAATATGCGCTTGATATTTCTAATAAAAAAACCAAAGCAAGACAAGCCGAGCGTAATAAAGTGAACGAAATTTTCATGCGACATCTACCGCTTGAGACATAATGGGAAACAGTGGGAGAGAAACGGCGGGGCGAAGAGACACACTCTACATTTCGCTAAATAAAATTTATTTCAGGGAAACATTCAAACATCTCGATAAAATTCGTAACTTCATTTTACGAAACTTTGGTAAAATATACAAGTTTTGCGAGATAATTGGGCGGTACTTCTTAAACTACGAATATCGAAGCGTTCGCCGCTTTCGAACCCTCGACGAGAGTATTATCTCGTGGAGCGTACCGACGAATGGATACGATAAAAAAAACAGTGTTAAATAATAAAATACCGCAACCCGCGAGAAAGAGACGGGGGGGGAGTAACGGTCGCGGTTACGCACCGAGTGTTTGATAATTCGAGCGCACTCGTCGAATAACCGGAACAGTTTTTCCTTGATAGACGGTCAAGACATGATTTTCCGCGATTGATTAGGGGAAGCAGCAATTTTACATATAACCTGGAAAAGTTTTGAAGTACCAAAAAAGATCCTTCGACCGACTAATGCCCGTTTCTATCATGACGGTTTAAATCTAATCGATGATTAACTTAAACGAATTGACCAGTCGCATTGGCCAATTGGCTGAACTGATATCAAAGTAACTGGTCAATTAATAAAGTTAATCGTCGATTAGATTTCAACCATAATGATAGAAACGGGCATAAATATCAACGGAGGAAAAAACTTCCGATCTTTTGGCAAAGAACATCGTCCTGTTCGTCGAATGCACGCACATTCTACCGAACACCTAGTGCGCGGTGTAAATTGTTCCCGGTGTTAGCTGCGATAAGAACAACCATGATTCGTGACGCGAGTCACACACCTTTAGACGCGGTCTAAGGAGGAAAGAACTGCCTAGAAAAATAGTATTACAAATAACGATCTCTAGCCGCCTTAGCTACACGTTTGATTCGTTCGTATATATATATATATATATATATATATAATTCGTTTATGAATCATGCATATATGCGTATATGCAAGTACAATTCAACGAGAAAATACAAAAGGCACCTGGAAAAGCAGGCTAATCCGCTTGAGAGACGAATCTCTTGAGGCTTCTACGAAGACACTTGTCACGTTTAAGGCGCAACATTTGTGACTATACTTTCATGCTGCCTGTCATTGTACACGAGAGATGGACCGCGAGGTCCACGCGAAATTTCAGATAAATTAAATACATAAAGTTACTTGTGTGTAATGCCGCGAGATTCAGGCATCGTTTTCGGCGACCCGAAGACTCCCGAACAACGGATTTCTTTCCGACTTTCTTCACGTACGCTTTTCATATAGCTGGAAAATAATGAGAAAAAACTGCCTAAATATTTCTCAATCCCTCAAATTCATTTCGAATCATTCTCGGACGGATGGTATCGGGTGTCTAGAGCAATAGCAATTTTCCACGGTCGGTCTTTGAACTTCTATGAAAACGCTCTTTGGACTTTGTCGTTGTTCGGGCTCGCGGACACTCGGATCAAAATTCGGCTCGCGAAGTTTAAACAACGAGTCTTTTTCTTCACTTTTACGCCGTTCGGTCGCCTCCTCTTCACTTCCTCATAAACGACCGCACCTTGTTCACACACTTGTCCATGAAGTTCCGTTTGCGCTTGGGTTCCGCGCCCGCCGGCAGCGACAACAGCGAGCCCGGGCCCTTCTTCGGACCCGCGGACCTGCCGCCGCCGTACTCACTCGACGAGACGCTCCCGTCAGAGTCCAGTCCCGCACCACAGCTCCTCGTCTTCAGCATCGTCGACCTGTCATCGTGGTCGCCGTCGTCGTCGTTATCGTCGTTGTCTTCGTCCTCGTCGTTACTCCTCACCAGCTTCTTCCGTGTCGTTCCCTCTTCCATCGCATGCCGCTCTTGCTCGACGCATTGCTTGCCGGATGTCGTCGATGATGATCCTTCCAAACTGGAAGAACGTCGATTCGGCTTCGGAGGGCGCGTCGGCTGAGTTCCCTCCTTCTCGCTCTCGTCCTTATCGTTCGAAGACGTTCGCGTATCCTCCGTCTCGGACTTGCACTCGGCGAGCTTTGGTTTCGTCCTGGGAACCGGCACGGGATTTTCCTCAGACTCAGCAGTCTCAACGGCGGCTTCTTGGTCACGCGTTAAATGGCTCTTCTGCCTGTCCTGCTCGCAGGACTCAAGCCGATCGCAGGACCCGCCGCCGCTGCTCTTCGCGTCCTCGTCCAGCAGACCGTCCAGACTGCGCGATCTCGGCCTGGGGAGCGGCGGTCGCGCTTGCACGATCGTCGCGGAGGCCACGGATTTCCGCTCTTCCTCCTCGTCCTGGTCCAGCAGTTCCAGCGAGCGAGAACGCGCGGATGGCGGAGGTGGTTGCTGCCGTGGCGGTCTGCGAGGCACCGCTGGACTGCCGCTGCCGTCACCAGGATGCGTGTGCACGAACTTGAAGCGAGGGGACGCGGGCGGCAGGCCCATCAACCAACGGAACGGACTCGACGACTTTCTAAGCCTGCAACGTGAACGTTATATTTGCAACAACGATGTTTCGAGTCGTACAGTCGGAGTCTCATGTATGCCGTATCATTCCTCAGATAGAAAATTACACGGTGCTCAGTCTTATGTATAACCCATAAGGTGGAAAATTGCACAATAACTCTAATTATATATTTAAGGTTGAAAATTGTGTAATTGTCACGGGAATGATACGGCTTATATGATACCAACTGTACCTCTTGTACCGAATTCCCCAAAAATTGATTCGATACAATCAGGACATGCAATTGAACCATCATCAAGAGGCTTGATCAAGAGACGCTTCATAGACGCTATAGATTATAAAGAACGCCCAACACCGATTTATAGTTCACCTAAACCCTCCACCTTGAATCGTACGTCTAGAACAGGTACATACATGCACGTGTGATGAAGCACATTTAAAACTGAAAGTATCAGGGACGAACCTAATGCAAGGATTTGGCAAAGCGACGGGGATGGTGATGAGAATTGACACCATTTATAAACATCAATGAAGAATTTGTATCATTGACTGACCTAGTCGCGATTGTCTTAGCGCGATTCGCAATCTTGGCTGCGTGAAAACAAAAAATTAGTTGCGTTAGTAGAGCTCGTCAGAAGTTAATGCTCCGAGATCGGTATGAATCGGCTCGGCAAGGTCTCGCAAAAAAACCAAGCGCAAATTGCTCGCCGGTCATTTCGTCCTCCATTCTCTCAGCGTTTAATTTCTTTCACTGGACTTTGACGAATCGATTCTCGTCGATCTCTTTGGTAATATACGTCACGCCAAATGTTCCGGAATAATTACCTGCTCGGTATGGCTGTGGGCGGGCCCTCTAGTCAGTCTCGCCCGCCCGTGGAATCCTTGTCGCTGCTCCTGCTCTCGTTGCTGTGCATCCGCTGGTAGCTGGGCGGCTGCCGTATGTTCGTGTTGCCCGGTGTGCTCGGCGTAGTCACATCCTTGGGCGCCATGCTGCGCGGGATCCCGCCGGACAGGTCAGATCTCATTGGTATTTCGCCTCGCATAAACCTTGAGCGTGAGAAGCAAAAACCATACGGTCACCTCGTATACGAGAGAGATACCGGCCTAATCTTTCAAAGATCAAGCTTCAGTATCGGACTTTAGCAGGAGGGATATTATTATAAGGGACTTTTGATTCTGAAACTACTTTCGGCGAGAGTTCGCAGGTTTCTCTTCTTACCTTTCCAATTTGTCTACGCAGGCGTCTTGATAGTCGTGAATCCAACGGACTCCGTTAAAGTGGCAGACCGCTCGCATATCCTCGGGAAGTTCCTCGGGCTCCGGCCATTGGAAGCACTGATCGATGATCGGGATTATGTTGCAGTCCGATTGCAACGCGGCAACGATTTCCTGCAAAGACACGACACGTCGTGAGTGAAAACGTTGCGTCGCGTCGCGCAATCCGTTGTATGCGCGAAGTTCTGACAACGATAACTCACTCTGTGAACCCAGTCCTTGCACTCGCTGTCTTGTATACACCTCTCCAGGGCCTGAGGCGTGAGCACAAGCAGGAAATGCTTCGCCTGCTTGATGCTGTGCAATAAGTTATTGTCGAATTTGCCGGCCTCGAGTCGCTCCACGTCGATAAACACGGAGAAACCGCGCAGCTGCAGGTGCACCTTCAGCAAGCTCGCGAGCTGCGAACCGTTGGACCTGCGATAGCTGACGAACACGTCGAGGCACTTGTCGGGAGACTCGTATTCGCACGAGCTGAACTGATTGTGCTGCATATTCTTGATGGCGTTCAGTATCCTGAGACGGTGTATGCTATTGGTGATGCCGCACTCGGCCAGTAGCTGATCCTCGGAGAGGTTGCGTATCGATTCCTTGTCCACGCCGGCGTTCAGCATGCCGTACGTGTAGATGGAGAACTCCTGACCGATCGACTGTAGGAAGCTGTTGAGATTGCCGGTGTCGCGGCTGCTGTAGTCGGCCATCTTCTTCAGGTTCTGCAGCTCACGGGCGAATCGCCGGCGCATTATGCCGTTCGTCAGGCCGATATCCTCGCGTAGGTTCTCCTCGGTCAGCTGCAACAGCAGGTCGCCGTCCACTCGGCTCTCCACGAAGTTGGTCGCGCATTCGGCGAAGCCGATTTGCTTCACCCACTCTCGGACGTCCTCGGTGGACCAGAGAGGCACTTGCTGGCTGAGCTTGTGAGGGATTTCTTCGCCGATCAACCTCAGAGCCTGCGCCGCGTACTTTGAGGCGATGGCGTTGGGACAGCTGGCGACTTTCTTCAAGGGCTCGATCGCGCCGATCGCCCTGAAGATCTCGGTGTTACCCTGCCTCTGCTTGATGCCGGCCTCCATGCAGAAGTGGAAGGCTGCTAGGTTTCTCGCTTCCTCTCGCTTCGAGCTCAACACCGGCACCAATCGCTCCAGCCAGTTCTTGCTCTGGCCGTGAGCGTGAGCGAGGTTCGACTTGGCGAACTCGTAAGGATTGTGCGACGTGACGAAAGGCTCGACGAGGTCGAGGGTGCCGGACTTGAGCACAGCCGCCTCGATCTCCTTGTTGGCGACCAGCACGGCGATCGCCAGGCAGGCGTAGTACTTGATGTTGTCGTCGTTGTGGAAGGCGAGCGGGAACAGCCACATCGGCACCTTCCGCTTGATCATCGCTTCCTGGTTCTCGGCGCCGCCGTACAACGACAGATTCGCCAGGGCGCCCGCGCAGTGTCGCAGCGTCTCCACGTCGTTCTTCCGGCACTCGAACAGCACCGCGTCGAGTCCGCCCAGTCGGATTACGTCGCTGCATGTGCCCTCGCTGTGCTTGAACAGGTGCTCGAGGATGCCGGTGCCGACGCGCGAATGGTCCACCGAGTTCGCGTTCTTCGTGCACACGCACGCCACGTTCACCACCTTCTCCAGGCCGTTCTCCACCACGTGGGCGCGATTTTCCGTCGTGAGGCATTGCTCCAGCAGCCTCGCCGACGAGAACTGCAGTTCGTGGTCGTTCGCCACGCAGTTGGACATGAGAAGATCGAGGCCGCCGCGGGTTCTCAGGGTGTTGCACAGGGTATAACCGAGCTCGTGGCCGTGCGTCGGCACCGCCCACGCCTTCCTGATGATCTCGTTCACTCTGTTCAGCAAGAGCGGCGCCTTGCCGTTCCTACCGTCGTTCGCCTTCAGCCTCTCCACGAAGCTGTCGAGGAAGCCGCAGTACTTGGCGATCGCGCGGTCGACGTCCTGCGCATTCGATTTCGAGCAGAGCAGGTCGAGGTCGTCCAACGGCAACGACAGCAACTCGTCCTCCGCCGGTCGTATGCCGTTCATCAGCTGGTTCACCGCGCTCGCCGCGCTGATCATCGACGATTTCGAGGTGACGCCCTTGGACGCAATCGTGATGCTCGACTGAGAGCTGGCGGCTATGTGCTTCTCGTGGTTGAAGATGCCGGTCGACGTGACCGTCTGCCGTTGTTGTTGCGCCGCCATCGCTTTCTGCGGAGTGACAATCGTCGGTTATCATGCTGAGATCCTGAGGATCGTTTCTCTTTAGGAAGATCTTTAAGGACATTGCCGAATCTGAGGACCGATCGGGAACTTGGATTTTGCTGGAAATTGAAGCTTGGGACTGCGGATGCTCTAGACTGTCTATTCGTAATATTAATTCACGCAAATTAATAAACAAATAATGATTTTCAAGTTACAGCAATAACACCAAACATTCTGTAGATGCTAAATGCTATTCAAGTTCACTTAGATTATTCGCAGCTACACTGAGAAATCCACTTAGATGTTTCGAACTAAATTCTTGCTTGGATATGGGCAAGCGAATATTTTGATTGTGAGAACCAAAGTTTGGTTCTATGAAACGAAAATGAAAAAGGTTTGCTTCAGGGGACCAAATTTCGGTTCTCACAATCGAAACATTTGTTTGACCATATCCAAACCAAGAATTTAATTTGGGTCAACTAAACGGGTCTCTCAGTGTATTTTAGTATTACGCGCGGCCGGATAAAAAGTCGTCGCTCATCGGAACTTCACGCCACGACCCATCCGTTCGCGTTTACCATTCGCGAGTCGAGACTGCACTTCCGCAGCATCATTTCGGACGATCGTGCTTCTCTAGCTTCTCTCGAGCGCGTGTTCACGTATCGACTGGGGCCCGACGTTGAGCTCGCCGGCGTTTAAATCGCGTGCGTCCGCATCGTATGCGCGGGTGTAGAAACGCATTACGCGCAGATGTAGCCTCGCGTGCCAAAATGCGGCAGACCGCATTTTCCAACGTCGTTAAGGATGACGATTTACGGTTTCGACTACCGGCGCGACCACTGCTGGTTTACGCCCGTTTTTTGGTGATCCGCCAGAAGTGCTCGCTGGTCGAGAATATCGCGTCTCGACCTTTTCCACGAAGCGGAAATAATACATCGTGCGATCTCCAGTCGGCCGTGGGAGATTCCGTAAGGCGAGAAGACGAAATATCCGTGCGAGAAAATAATTTCAGAACAATTGCATTTGTTCGCAATTTTTCTAATCAAGGAATACGTGCGAGGGAAGCTTTCAGCAGGGTGTCGTTTTTTCAGGGGGAACCCAAATCGAAATTTTAGTTCTACTTTAAGTTTTCAATAGGTCTTCTATTGCGTCCCTTTGATACTACAAGTGGGAAATTATTCCCACATTTTCCACTTGAAGACTTGAGGTAGAATTAAAAATTTTTCCCTGGCTGGATAAATTCTAAATTCCTTTTGCAATACCAAATGAGTTCTATTAGTGCTCCTTTGATGCTACAAATAGGAAGTTACTTCTATTTCCCCTACTTGAAGACTTAATGTAGAAGTAAGTAGACTTAACAGGAAAACTAAACTTTCAACCCGGGAAGCCGCAAAATATCGATCGGGTTGTTCGCTTACCTTCTCCGAGCTGAACGAATCGCTCTGAAGCTTCATGGTGGACGCTGCCACGTTGTTGCTCTCCTGATGCGACAGGTCGCCAGCTTTCAGGCTTCTCTGCTCCTGAAGCAGAAAAGTGTATCCTTGTAACTGCTAGCGATCCGGAAGATACACTTCGCACATGCGAGGGATTAAGGGGATTTTTCATCTCGATTCTCTCGAGCGATTTCTCACTCCCTCGGCTCTCGTTTCGCGAGGAGGTCGTCTCGAAATCGAGCGAGAGGAAACATCCCGCGGCAAAGCACGACAGATACGAGTACAACGCCGAACCGTGGCGCGTTGCACGGAATTAGCGTATTATCGAAGGTCCACTTATGCCGCGTTCGCGAACGACGCTAATTCGCAGTGGCTGATACGAGATAGCATCATAGAGAGCACAACAGTCGCACTGTACTCGAGATGATTTTTCCTTTTCGGCGGCTCGAGGGCAGCCCCGCAACACGCATTTCGCGCGCAATAACACATAATCGGTTGCGCGCGTTGCTTTCGATCGCTCGCCCGACACTTATTATCACACAATCGAAACGACACGATAATAAATATTGCACGTGTATCTTGGGATACTGATCGCACATTCCTTCCAGTCGGATGTTTCGGCGTTCAATCGAATGAGCAATTTTCCTCCGGAACAATGTTATCGCGCGTTATCAAAAATAGCGCGTCGTGATATCGACCAGTCGACTTATCAGAATCGCCGCTTTTTTGCACGTCACCGAGGTATAGGGGAGCAGTCTCCCCCGCGAGATTTCGCGACACAATGATCCGCTTTGTGAAAAGCTCGTTTCGAATGTCGACCTCTCTTCCTCCCTCTTTCGCGTTCTCTGACGATCGACGTATTCCTCTAAATATAATTCGTATCGTCGCGCACGGCGACGCCTGTTACGCGACATATTAAGTTCGTTCGTTCTCCTCTCCTCGCTGTACTCGAGCTTGCTGCCTTACTTCGCGATTCATGACGTCGACGATAATGCGTGAACGCGTATCGAACAGGGACAGAGTTACAATCTCGGTTTCATTGGTGAGAATCGCCCGACGGTTGCAGTCGATGCACTCTGCAGCAAAGTATATTCGTCAACCCGCGAGCGATTAAGGAGGTTTGAGTGTTTCATAAAATATAAGATAAATCTGTAATATATGTATATATATGATGCAAAATTTAACCGAACTAACAATGTGTAACCAAAAATTTCAATAATCTCCACCGCATCCCATTTCCGAAATATTTAATTATAAATTTGTATGTGCAAGTATGTAGAGACCTCGTAATACAACAAATTTCTTCTAATTTGATATATTTGTGTATGAATAGTATTGTGTATGATATAGAAAACAAATGTAATATTAGAGACTAATATATAGATATTATAGATAAATTTGAAAATAATTAATAATTTCGTTTTAAAAATATATAATAATGGAAAATTTATAATTTATAGTAATATTCGACGCATATACACACACACATATACATATTATTCAACTTCTTTCAAATTAACAGTTACTATTTGGATAATGAAATAAATGTATAGAAATGTATAACTTTGTTTGATAAGTAATAATTTATGGTTTTCCTAATGCACCACTGAAAATACGGCACTTAGTAGACAAATCTCCTCAATCGCAGCCGCGAATATTCTCTCACGCGTTCCGTCTGCCGCTTGTATCTTGGCCATCTCATCTCGTGATCAGTTCGCGTTATTTTTTCTTTTCGTGGAAGCGCAGATATTCGCGTGGATTTTCTGCGCGGGCGACTTCTTGTTTACGAATGATGAATATCCGATCAGGCGCGGGAGAAAGAGACCAGCTTCGTTTTATTCTCGGACTCCGACTCGGTCGCTCGCGATATTTCACAAAGATTCCCCGAAAGCGTGGTAAATAAAATACGCGGATTTTAAATGAACGGTTCTCCGATGACGGTCATTAGTTATTTTCACAGGCGGTTTGCGTCCCACGAGAATCGTTCTACGCACTCGTCCCGTCGCCGATCGGTTTGTCGCGATGAAAAATTGATGAGAAAAACTCCTCATCGTTAGGATGATTATTGAATCGTTCAAACAAGAGTCAAAATTTCGACTTACCACTTGTGAGCGATCGAATTGTTTCCGATGCAATATTCCACGGCGGATCGGCCACGGCGCGCTCATATTCGTCGGAAAATTCGCATCACTTTTTTAAAAGTTGACGTAGATAATTATACTACTCGTTAATTATTTGCAATTCTTTAATTACCTGCAACTCACATCGCGCGAGAAAAATATTTTTACGGAGAAAAAGAGCGTAAGAAAACAAATTAGTTGGGGTGAAATCGTCCGCCGCCGACCGAGTCACTTTTGACCACGTCCAAATGAAAATTATTTTTAATTCCGTTCGTTGAACACGTTTGAGAGATGAGAATTCGAGATTCGCGAATCAACCCTCGAAATAACTGAAGAGGTGAAACGTGGTTCGCGATCGAGCCGTCGATGAGCTATAGATCACCGCGAGTCGCGAGCGTGATGGCAGCGCGGCACGAACTAATCTCAGCTGCGTTTAAAGCACGATTCACTACCCCGACAGTTTAATTTCGTTACGCCCATCGTATACGTTGCACCGAGGCAGAGGGAGAAAGAGAAAAGAAGGGTGGGCGGTGGGGAAGAAGAAAGAGAGGTGCATTTTGTGTGACGTAATTGGTGTAATGGCTTTTTAACAGCGGTCTCCTAGTTGCATCGTTGCTATTTTTCGACGCCTAGAAATAGTTCGCGCGAGTCACCCGCGAATGGCTCGTTCGATCCGTTTCACGCTCGCTGACGACGTCAAAGACACCGAGAAACTCTTGATCTACCGTTCGCAACTCCGCAATTTGCAACTTGGATTTACGTTCCCGACGTGGCAGCTCCGGCGAGATTGTGTTATCTCGGTAATGTTCAACTGAATACGTTGGAGCAATTATAGTTCGGGCAATCTTATATCTCTGGATCTCTCTCTTATATTCGATACTTGGAAAATACGTTGCCTATTTTTTTATTTTGCTTTCATTCGTGTCAAATCATTTCGAGAAAAATAGCTCCTGAAATTTATATTTTAAAATATAGGTAGACACACATGATCAAATGCATGCCAAATAAAAATCCCGAAATTTGATAAGTAGGACAACATTTCGAAAAGTCAGAATTCCGAAAATTGAATATCGAGACAACCTCACGAAATATTGAAGAGAATTATAACTTGACAAAATTATTTCATTTTCCTCCAATATTTCAGGAAATTGTCCCGGTACTCAGTTTTCGGGATTGTAACTTTTCGGAATGTTGTCCCACTTCTTTCAAACTTCAACTTCTCAAATGTTGTCCTACTTTATGAATTTTGATATTTTTGGAGGAGGGGAGGAGAGTATGCATGTCTACTAAAATATGTTTCGATGATCAATCAAGAAAATATTGACTCTAACCAAAAACTAATTTAAAAAAAATTAAAATCGCTGATTTTGAGATTTCCGTATATACGAAACAATTCCGTTGTTCCAAAGTTATCCCCGTACGTTCGATATCAACGCGCATCTTCGACGATTGAAATCGAAGTCGTTCACATCGGGCTGGCGCGTAATCTCGCGTTGATGACTGTTTTCCAAAACGCGTGCCATTTATCATATTCTTATCAAGCTCTTATCAGCGTCAGCTTGTATCGGTCTCCAGTTTCGACGGTGCCCGTATCTATCTTTTTCGGGAAAATCTGCCGCGGCCTTTGCGTGTCTCTCGCGACATGCGTCCTTGAAGAACGTCGCGGTCGGTTGCGGCCGGCAATTTACTTAGCTAACTGCGAGTGCTCTATTTCGGTTCTAGCCAGGTATCGGCGACACCTAGTCCACTCCTCAGCGTCGTCGTCTCCTGGCACAGCTCACCCTCTTACCGAAATCTGAACGATGATCTCACGTCTCGTCGCATTGCGTCGCATCGCGTCACGTCGAGGTGTTGAATGAGCGGCTGACAACGCGCAAACTAGACAATAACAATAACTGGCAGTCGCTGACAAAATGCACGCTGGTCCTATTATTAACATCCTTGTTGCTCCTCGAGATGTATACCCTGCTTAAGACACCAGGAACTATCATTTGAGAGCAGTAAGACTGGCCAAAAAATCGGTGATTCATAAGAAATCTCTCAACGAGGAAGGACAGACGACCCCGTATAGCACGAATATCGAAGAAGCGAGTTCTTCGTTTCACAACTTCTCAGTGAGAAAGAATAACGCGAAGTTGTCCGTTTTACACAGAAAAAACTCAGTTTCTGCAAATAAATAGGGATCAGATGAAAACTCGATAACAAGAAACGATATTTCTGTTACCGCGATTGAGACATTCAGTTCTGCAGTATACTAAAGTGAGCCTTCCCTGTACTAAACTAAAATATCTACAATCCACAGGAGAAAAGAATAGATAAGTTGGAGGAATATCTGTCTCTTTTGTACATACGACTATGATAAAGAGAAAGATATATCCAGAACACGTGTATCCTTTTCTACAAATGGGACACCTCCACTCCTTGGTGGCTCACCCCATACTATAGATTGAATGGATTGAAAACATTCGTGTAAACATATCAAGCTGTACTAAAACTTCGTTTGAGACAACCGAGAGCAATTGATTGAATAGAAACCTCGTATAGAAATCTTTCTATTTCTACAGTCGAGTTTTCGCCTGGTCCCCAGTCAACGGAAAATTCAATTAGACCAACGGAATTGATTTATCCGTGTACGCTTATCGTCCATTCGATGATGAATTCTCGAGGCATCGAATCGTACCATCTGCGAAATACCGTAGATTCGGGTATAACGAGGGTGACGGTCACGGCATCTCGGGAAAAAGGTCCGCGTCAATTTCGACAATTGATGTCCCATGTAACCTCAACACGCGAACCAACTGACCAACCGACAACAAGCAACGTCGCGCACCAACTGATCGTCCTCGAAGAGGGTGGTGGCGGCTTATCGACCCGAGGGTTGCGCTCGGTCGAATCGCCTTTGCCTTGGCTGTTCCCGTGACTACCCTCCCGTTCGTCATGGAAACGGAGGGTGGTAAATTTCGCGGAAAAGAATGCAATACAGTACATACTTCGCTGACGTAGTCAGACTTCTGTTGTGTTTGTCGAGTAGAGAAGAGGAACGTTATTTTCTCGACATAGTGGTGACGGTAACGCAATTTCGACGATATTTACTTCGAATTTAGAAAGACAAACAACAAAGGGGAGACTGAAGTTATCGATGTCCTTACTCGGTTCGTAATATTCAAACGGATCAATATGGAAGGCCTTGTCATAGACTTATATATTTAGGTCCATATTTTGAACTCATTTTTATCGATAAAAGTGTCTTAAATGTGGTTTCTCAGTCAATTAGGTGATCCTAAGCCACTTTTAGAGGCACTTTTAAAAGAGAGTTCAGAGTATGGTCCACAGATTGGCTTTTTATGACAGCTCGCAAGATAAGACCGAAGAATAGCTGTATTGCCCTTCCACTGTCCGCAGGCATGCTATCCTCGTCGTACATAAAGAAAAGTGGAGATTTAAGAATGAAGCTTGAAAAAGATGGATTGCCTGTGATATATGCTACTTCTCTCTCTAATCAGGGCATGCAGCCTCTTGTGCTAAGTGCTAAGTCTATGTGTATAAATCTATAGTCGTTGCATGTAATCTTGTACAGCCGGCGTCATGTATGTTATACTATTCTCAAGACGGAAAATTACATGAATTTCAGCTGTATAATGCTGTGTAATATATAAGGTTGAAAATCGCATAACTGACGCTAATTATAATGATAGGTTTGTAATGACTCTAATTACAATGGTTTCGATCTTATATGTGTATAAAAGTATATAAGGCTGAAAATTGTGCAATTCTCAATCTAAAAAATGATACAGCATGCACTGAGAAAAGGATTTTTACAAATTGAATAAATTTGAACTCATCCAAACTAATTTCATCATTGGCATGTTTTAAAGAAATTAATGTTTCGATTAATAAATACGATTGTTAGACTTTTCAACGAATACGTATCTTTATTTTAAACAAAAGATTTGTTTAAAATGAAAGATAATTTTCTTATAAAGAAATTATTTGTTTTATTTTACATATTTATTGTGATGAAATAATATTTTATTTGGTTAAAAGATATTATGTCAAATAATAGCGTTCTTTCTTTTAAATAATAGATTTTCCTTGAATGAGACAATGCAATTTTTACTGAAACAAATAATATTTCGTATATGTTGTTTCTATGAAATAAATTTTAGTTGAATAAATAGAAATATTAAATCTAAAGAAACCTTTTACTCTGTGTGCATGACGCCGACAGTACATGCATTCTATTTATTGATCATGCTGAATATCACGAGCTAAGCAATGTGCCGATCTTAGAGTCAACCGTTTCAAAGTAAAAATCGCGCGAATCCCGATTGTTTACTAATATATAATAAAAATATTGCAATATATTTCTCTACGATGTGCCGCGGTCAAACAAAGATCAGCAAAACGGTCGGACCCGGATTTTCACCCGTTCCGAAACTCGTTCTGAAACTCGTAAAATTAAACAACGCCGCAATCTTTCTGCCGGCGACCGTATGCACCAATTTCGAGATCGGTTGCCGCGATCTTAGCCGCAACGCGACTACCGAAAACGATTTTACTCATCGACTTCGCGGCATTCGTCGTTACTCCGTCGACGACAGCATCGTCCTACCGAAATCCGGTGACATCTATCGAGCGAGCTGGGAAACGTGCAGATAAGTGCATCGGAATGCACTTATCACAAGCGCATGCATACACGGTCATACGTGCGTATCGCGCAACTCGATAAGTCGCGGCTCCGAGCGAGGCAACGCGGCTTGAAAAGTTGCTCTTGGCTCACGAACGCGTACACTATTAGCGTGCTGAAGGATTTCCGGCCAAACCGACGCGCCGAAGTGACTTCGGCACGATGAGAAATTCCATCGCAACGGTAAAGTTTGATACACGAGGGCGCAAGGCCGACACGTGGGGTCAAGGATAACGTGCGCGCTCGTCAAAATAATGACCAACACACCCACGAACGAAACGGCACGCAAGCGTTTCGCGAACCGCACGCACGTGCGAGCGAGCGAGCGAGCACCTTCTAGTGCTCGGGGAGCACGAAGATTTAACATCCTTCCGAGCTGGCTGAGGAGAACTTTGTCGCCGTGGCCCACGCGAGTCACGCGAACGCGCCATCAAGGAGGAAACGGCGCGTCCGGAAGATTGACTACTTTTTGCGGAGCAACGCGAAGGCCGAGAGAGCACTTATCTAATCAGACTGAAGCGAAGAAGACGTTGTTTTTATAAAGTAACAAGGTTGGCTGATCTAACGCGGATCTCGAGGATTGAAGCACGCTTCGCACCGTCCGGTGAAGTCGCGTTCGGAAAATGCAACGCGAGGCGCGTCGTATTCGCGCGGCGTTCTCGCGCTTTCGCCGCGCGTGTGTCCGAGCAGCGAGCGTAATCTCAACCTTGACTATCAGTCAAGGCGATTTCGCAAAAGAGAAGAGCGCACGCGCGTATGTACGCGCATCATCATGTACGCGATCGAGAGACGGAAAGTTCGAGAGTAATCTCGTAATCGAGACGCTGTGCGCGCGCTCCGATGAGGAGGAATCATTGGCTCGCATTCAAAAATGCTATCCGCACGCGCTGACTCAAGAGCTACGTAGCCGACCTAGCTGAATTCGCATTCGCCCTAAATTTAGACGACACGTCCACCGTAAATACTCGCGGGAGAGCTTGAACCGCGATAGCCGAATCGCGCGGTATCTCCGGCGCGAGCTCCGCTCCAGTTTCCGCGCGTTTATAGCCTAATCGCGACGCGAATGAACGCCTCTCCTTCCCGCGAATCACTTATTGCTCTCGCCCGCTTCATTTCCTCGATCGCACTTCCCCGCAGACGTCGTCCAAGGAGACCTCATACGTTCCAGATTTAATCGACCCTTACTCGACCTTTTCGTCGGAACCGGTCCCGCAGCGGGTTATTCGCGGTCGGCTCGCAGCTGATTCTCGACGCACGGCGCAGGGAAACACGCGCGTCGAGGAAAACGCGACGCGCGTGTCAACGACCCGCGCGCGCTTTATTCGCGCGCGGTTTCCGTCGCAAGCCTCGTGCCAAACTATTCCGCGTGCGAATCGCCGCACCCAGAGAGAGAGAGAGAGAGAGAGAGAGAAAGACAGGCTTCTCGCCCGATCCTTTTGTCACCTAAACGAGAAAGGTCAGGCTCGCCTCGAAGCGTCTCGGGGAGCCTTGGAGGATTCTCCTTTGTCCACCCACGCGTTCGCGCCGGCTTTTTAACGCGCGCATCGTTTGCACAGGAACGCGCGAGTCTTTAATTGCTGGCGTGTGACTCGCGCGATGCCGATCTTATAATTTCGTTACTTTTCACTTTGTTTCGCAAAACCGCCTCTTTCGCACGTGCCAGTCTTATTTTTCTCATGTTATTTGCCGCTCCGTATAAGTACAGCTGCCGAAAGTTCTTTATCGAGTACTGTACCACGCTATTCGTTAATCCCGCTGCATCGGAAAAGGACAGTTTCTCCACACAGGATTCGCTGCGGATTATTCCGTCACAGATTTCTATTTACTCAAAACGTCGTCACTTACCCTCGCGGAAGCGACGCTCTTCTCCGCGGAGACGCCGTCGAGCTCGACGCGCGCCCTCGCCGCTGTCGCGGCGCTCTGCTCTTTGTATGACACATCGCCGGCTTGGAGGGCCCTCATCTCGGCACTGTTCGCTGTCGCCTTCTCGGCGCTGAATCCATCCGTGACCACCTAATGCAAACAGATCGATGATTAGATGCAAAACGAGATAAGAGACACGACGACATTCGTCGTACGTTGTGAGAACACGAACGGATCTTCGAATGTTTTTCGCGAGATTCAGCGTCCTCGCGAAAGGATCGATCATTCTTCAAAATCCGAAGGACGGAGAGAAATCGTTTCTAACGCCGTGATATGTTCCGACATCGAGCATAGGTCTGACGTTTTCTTGCGCGTAATGCTTTACCTAGAGGCAGAGTCGCAGGCCTTGACCTAGACTACCTGGAGGAAGCCGCACCTCGGGCAAACATTGCGCAGCTCTGCTTTGCGCGTCTAACATTGTCGTCGGACGCATCGGACGCGATTCGATCGGCAAGTTCCCGGTTGAAGCGTTCACGCTTGATTCTTATTACGACGCGAGTTCCGTTTTAACTCGGATTAATAATAAGTAAAAATAATCTGTTCCAATTGATAATGCGTATGTGTTGGCGACTGATAAAATTTACTTTTAAATAAGATGAAAAATTAAATAACTCTTGACATAATAAAGATGATGACTCTTTTGTGCGGAAACGTCAGATGCGTTGTGAGAAATATTACCTTCGTCTTAGAAGCGCTGGTCATCTTCTTCTGCTCGAACTTCATGGTTTCTTGACCGGCGGGTAAATTCGCCATGTTCGATATGTTCGACATGCTGATCGGCGGGCTCATGCCGTGAAGATTGTTCAGAGAATTCAGCGTGCCCAATTGTGACGGGGAACCGCCTGCCAACGCGACAGCGTCGCTTACGGGCGGCGGCGTGTCTGGATCTGGAAACGTCACCAGCGGTTCCGTCAGATCGGTCTCCTCCGGTCCGTTGCCGTCTCTGGAAAGTTCAACGGGAGAACCCGTGAGCGGTGATTCCAGCAAGATAATCACGTCGGGAACATCTCTTCGCGAAACGAGGCAACGCGTTAAGCATAATCCGACAGTCTCGAGAAAAGTCACGATTAACGCTTACGCGAAAATACTCACGATCGACTCGAACGCCTCGGAGTTCTCTCTCGGAAAACGCTCCAAAAGTAACCGTAAACTAATCGTTTCCACGAGAGAAACTCATGAAACGCGCGCATCACACGTTTTCTTGAAACGCCCGCGCGCGACACCGCCGCATCTCCGTCTCTCGGTATCACACTCACTTTTGAAACGTTGTATCGCCACTGTAAACACTCCTTTGTACGTCCAACGCTCTGATGAACCACTCTATTTTTTCGTACGAGAATCTGATTTCTACTGCGACCAACCTGTCTACGAGGTTCTCCATGCTGTTGCGCAATCGCTGCGAGAAGTTGGTGGATATGTTCTTCATCTCCGAGATGCCGCGCTTGAGTTCCGTCAGGTCGCTCTTCATCGAGCTCGCTTTCATCTCACTCGATGAGGACGATGTGAGGATCCTCTGCGAGGACTTGGCCACCCTGCTTGAGCTGCTGCTGCTGGTGCTGGTGCTACTGCTGCTCTGGCTCTGGTTCGTCGTCAGCATCTGCCGAGTCAAGAGCCGTTTTCGTTCTATTTAAGATCCACGTGAGATGACTCACTCGCTCCCTCCGTCGCCCCCCCGGTCCTACCTATATCTTTCTCTTCATCGTTCCACCTCACCGTTGAATACTCGAAATTGTATTTATATAGACGCGTGTAGTTTACTATACATATGAGTGTGCAAACAGAGACGAGTATATTTCGTACGAGTTCTCGTTCGAATTCGTTTCACTATAAGGAACTTCTTTTTACTAAAGTCACTTCCCGTTGCGAGGAAGTCGAGTAAATGATTTGTACAATTCGAAGACACGCTTCGAATGCACGATTCTTCGGGAAAAGAGAGAAAGCCGTTTGGGAAGACTTAAAGGGAAGAAGGTAAACAGCATTCGTACGAGTAATATAGCGTAGCAATGACAGCTGGCGGTTGGCCAAGAGTCATCAGCAAGAGGCGGGATGCGACATGACGCCAAGTCTGCGTGTACCAAAAGGGCCCGGATAAATTTAGAAAGAGGCAACGTTCTCTCGAAAGAAAGGCAGGAAAAGGAGGTGGGACAAGGGACCTTGAAACACGGTACCAAGGTTCACGTCGATTGCGCGAAGCCAGCCTGCAGCGGGAAAAAAAAAAACATACGTGGGCGGTCAACAAGTTGCGTAAAATACGATCGAGCGAGCGAACGATCGTCGTCGTCGGCGCCGCTGATTGCTCGATGATTGGAGATGGACCGACGAGTGGGTAGCCACTTCAACGTTGGACGTGCGGCACGTGTCGCGTACCGACCATCGGACTCAAATCGAACAGCCGCGTTTAAGTGCAGAATGTACTTTACGTATTAAATACACTCGTCTGACTTTCGAGTTCGATTCGAGTTCAACGAAGAAGATAAATTTAACAAAGCATTTCGCACCTTTTTCGCAACTTTTATACACTGAGAAAAAGTACTTACACAATTTTTTATGAAAGAAATATCAGGCTTATTTCACAGAAACAAAGTTTATTTCTGAGATATGTCTTAAATCTCACAAATAAATTTTTAAGTACTTTTATCGGTGCACACACTATGAAAAAAAGTCTTAGAAATTTATTTCTGAAATATAAGGTTTATTTCACAGAAATAAACATTTAAATACGGCAAAATAAAATTTTATTCATAGTAATAAATAAACCAATTAATAAGAAAACTTAAGTATATTTCACAAAAATATATATTTCGTCATCACGGTCAAATTTTTTTTCTAACTAATAAATATCGAAGAAAATATCATTCATCAAGAAACATTTACTTCAATTTCAATTTCTTTTTCTCAGTGCACTAAGAGAAAAGTACTTAAAAATTTATTTACAGAAGGGGACATAAGATTTATTTCGCAGAAACAAGATTCATTTCTGTGAAATATACCTTACAAATAAATTTTTAAATATTTTTTTCAGTGTGTTTTCATCGATAATTCGGATATCGAGAATCACGAATTCCCGGGAATGGGTATTTTGCGAGTTACGACAAGGAAAAAAAACTGCGCGAAGTCGATTGGTTTGTGCTTGGAAGCGTGCGTGATGACGGCAATTTATTTTCGGCAGTTGTAGCACAGATGATCATCGACATTATCACGACGGGTGAATAATTCGAAATTTCCGTGTCGCGAGCGCTTTCAGGAAATCTGTCTCGGATGTGGGCGTCGGAGGCGTCGCGGCACCTAAAATCGTGTTTCTAGCGACGTCGCTGACGCAGAGCTCGGCGCAGATTAAAGGCCGAGTTAATCTTCGAGATTAGAAGAAATACTCGCGAGAAAGGTGATGATCGTGTATTTTCTTTGAAGCGACGGGGCCAGGCAAATATCGCGACACATTTCGTGTTTTAACGCTGGATCGGTGACGACGCGACGAAATAAAACTTACTCGCGCGAGTTTAATTAATTTTCCCGTTTTAATTTTCAAGATTTCGCTGGAACGATGCGAGAAACGATAATTCGCAAACTCGTAAAAAGTCGTTTTTACTTTAAAACCTAGCGGGAGACCGTTAAAAGCGTTGTTACGGTACGTGTTAATTAGCGGAAGATATTCGAAAGAAATATGAGCCTCGTGTGCGGAAATACACCTGACGTCGGTATATTTTTTCCTTTTTTCGCAGAATCGCGACGTTTTCGCAGCGTCTGCGCAAATATTTGACAACCGACAAGAGAAAGAGACAGGGGAGAAAGAGAGAAGGAGCGAAGATAATCACCTGCGACGACGTAGTGACCTGCGGATGATGGCTGACATGTGCCCTGCCGGTCACCAGGTTGTTCTTCTTCTGGAAATTCTCCATGACGGTCTGCATGTCCCCGTTCTCGCCCTCTACTGGGAACTCAGACATCTGTAACGAGATCAGCGGCATCGTTAATAAGATCGCGCAAAATAGATAGATAGGTAGAAAGAAAATAGTGTTTATTTCATATTAAGGAAAGCCCTCTACGGACAAATAAAATACATGATGGAATCAAAAAGAAATTACATTATTTTCAATTAAATTAAAAATCATATTAAACAAGATGATAATTCCGAAATACGGAGAAACAAAACCGCAAGAAAATAAGCTATAAATATAAATTTACATTATATATACATATATATATATATATATATATATATAAATAGAGCAATATGTGTGTGTGTGTATATATATATAAAAGATTAAACTATAAATGAAAATGTAAATGTTTAAGTTAACGTGCAAGATAAAGGAATTATTAGTTAAAGAGAGAGATTTAGTGCGAAAATATTTTGTTTTTTTCCGATGATAAAATGCGCGCTAATTAAGTCCGTACATCGTCGTCGAATTGTCGCGTAGATTCGCCGAGTGCAAGGGCCTAATAATAAGCATTGGGGAAATGATAGGCAATTCGAGTTTGGCAAGAGCCAAAACGCGAAGCCGGTAAGATCTCATAGCGGCGCTCATAGCTACGATACGAACGATTGGACTGCGAAACGCGTGCTCGCGCGCTGCACCCGTAAACGAGCGGAATATGCAAAGCGAGCCCACGCGCGCGCGTGCGTTCGTTAATAAAAAAAAGTTCATCGCGCGAAATGAACCCGGATCTGGAACTCGCGAAACGACCCGTTTATCGGGTTAACGATCAAGCTTTCCAGTCGCGACTCTGCACCGATTCCTCGTCCACGTGGAATACTAAGCTCGCTGGCGGAAATGTTTGAGGCCATCCGAAAGATCGGCACAACTGCCGGGTGTTGTTCGCGCACGTCACGTCATGTCACGCACGTCTCAAGGATGATCTTTAGAAAATTATACTACAAGAGTAAGGATAATAAATGAGAATAATAAAATATTCTAATATCTGAGAGGGATGAATGGAGAACAGGAAAGTTAACTCTTGGTGCGATTTTATCTAAACTAAATGCATCGAAACGCACACTGAGCGAGTCGCTCTTTTGAATTTAATTTATTATACGGTTCTCGCGCGAGATTGCGAGCGAGACAGTCGCGGGACGTCAAGTGCATCAAAATGTACGGGCGTGTTGCGTCAGCTGTTGCGCCGTTGGGTGTCAAATCGATGCTACACCGCGTGAAACGCAACTGCACATAATCGGGACAAGTGCAACTATCGCGAGACGCGTGGATGGGCGATACGCGCGTTGCATTCCATCGTTGTGCTCTTTCGATAATTCTGCGGGATTTGCATAGGCGTGGGCGCAACTAACTCGGGCGCGTACACGACGACGCGCAATATCCGGCATCGATCGTTCCCGCGTACACAATCCTTGGTATCGTTCGACTGATTTGCTTGGTCTCCGGCAGAGAGAATCTAGCGATTCGACGTTGCAGCATCGCTGAGTAACGCAGGCTTCGATACTTTCCGCATTCTTTTCTTGATAACGTTCGTCATAAAGATATCTCCTTGGCGTAACCAAATTCAGAAACGATAAATAACAAAGAATCGATATAATGTCGCTTCTTACACTCAAGCGTACGATCATAAGATCCTAGTTATCCTAGCGCAAACGCCCCATGTTTACATGACACTGAAGGGAAGGTCAACAACGATTGGGAACTAACAAAGATTATGTCCTCCGAAAACAGATAACATATCCTCGAATCGAGGATCTTAAAACTTTCTGATATAAAGGGGAAGAACAAAATAAAACTTAAAAAATACCACTGAAATATAACGTTCGAATTTAAAAATATTTAAACGTGTTGTTTTCTTCCTTGATCACACGCACGCACAAGTTAGAATTAACAAAACGCCGGTAAATCGTAATAATTGAAAAGATACGGTTGTGAAGAGATCAATGAAGAACGATCAGATTATATTAGGTTAGGTTGCGTTAAGTAAGGTTAGGTTTTCGCGCAATGATCAGCCGGAAACCGGAAGCTGGCTGCATTTGCGAACCGTGCGTCGTTCACGACCAGTCGATACTGTTCCCCAAACAAAGACAGACGGCCCATAAATACTATTGAACAAAAAACGGGGACAATCCTGATGTCGTTACACTCCACCACGAAAGCGCGGCACGCGGCTGTGCATGTCATTCCAGGCACGGAGGACTCGTACAAGGACTTGGAGCCAATCTGAGTCGACACTCCCTTCGTCGTAATTCAAAATCTCCTCGCACTTCGAGTTCGGAGCGCCAAAAAACGCTTCCGAGCTCGCTGATATTCCCGTGAGATTAGATGTAAGGTGAGGTAAGGCGAGAAGAATAAAATGCGCACCCAGTTGACACTCAGCCGACCGCCACGTAGTCCACCTTGCAGCGATGACAGGTCGAACAGGCGGTTCCGAGGGCAGGAGGACACGGAACGGACACAGGTTACAAAATCGACGACGAAGACGGCGAGTCGCGGCGGAGCCGAGGTCGTGCAAACGGATAGTACACGTCAACTCGTGTGCACCGGCTGCCTGGCAAAAAGAGCGGCAGATCTAATCCCCACACGTCAAACATCCTGCGCGCCGGTCGCGGCCGCACTGAGAGCCGCGCGATCAGTGCGTACCCGAGACGCGCCGGTGGTCACGTGCTCGAGTCACGTGATGCGCGCGCACTACCGCCGCGCGACTTACGAACAGCGCGCACGTGAGCCATTTAAAGGGACGATGGTGATTTAAAGGGACGCGAAACGCGCGAGAAATGATAGAATTTAGGAGGCTTTCGAGATTATTTTCACGCTTAGGGGGTTGAGAGTTAAACTTAAATATGTTATCGAGGGGAGTATTTTTAAACTTGAGAGAGAAAGTAGACGGATCGATGAAATTAAACGGATCGTTAAATTGATACTGAATTAAACGTTCTGTCTGGAATATTAATTCTTGGTACAATCGGAGGTTTATTTGATGAATGACGGTAGTATCAGTTGAGTTACTTATTAAATGTAAATGTGATTAATTTCGAGGTTGATCTAATACGTATGTGGATGAGAGATCTAAGGTTTCGTACTAAAGTACGACGAAATAAAATACAGCGATATCGAGAGAATTAAGGAGACGTTCTAAATAAACGGTTCCGAGAAGCTTACATTCTGCAAAGACGGATTTTTCGATCTGGATTAAGAGGAATCGCATGCATAACCCCGATCCGGCAAGTGGGACAACGATAAATGCTCGATTCCTCGAACGACACAGTGGCGAAGAGACGCTTTTTACCAGCGCCGTAGCAGCGACATTATGTAAGAAGTTTGCGCTTCTCTTGTCTTGTCTCGTTCACCGACTGAAAGTGCATCTGCCAAAGTACTTTACAGCAGGCTACTTGTGAAAGGAAGGTTAAAAAAAATCCGCCACTTCATTCATCTTATCAGACCGCACTTTTCATTGATCACGAAAGCGAATCGTGAGATTTTGTAAAGCTTCACACATCGCGATAGATTTTGTTTCGCTGTTACGACTATAGAAAATAATTAAGAAAGGAGTAGTAATCGGAAGGAAAAAAGAATTGTTTAAATAAGGATAATTTTTCAGATTTTCCGACAAACGAAAGAAAAAAGAGGCACCACTGATTAAAAAAGAATTCCGTTTCGATTTACGTTTCGTTGCGTGTTTCTCAGATTGGAAAGGGAATAAATAGTGATCGCGATTGCGCTGAGATGCGTTTCGAATGGGACTGTACACGATACACACAGACGACAGCCCTTGACTGATTTATGCTGGAAAGGAATGTCGGATCCCCCTTATCTCCAGTTCGGGACACGGCATAAAGCACCGGTCGAAGAATTCAGGCCAGGTTTGCTGTGGTATCGGAAGCGAACTCGCCGTTTCGACGAATCCGTGCCGCATTTGTCGTAATTTCGATCTTCAACTTTGCGTTAACTTCGACTGCCATAAATCAGCATCAAGACAGAGGGATAGATAGAGAGAGAAAGAGAGAAAGAGAGAGAGAGAGAGAGAGGGGGTGGGGCACGCGCTCCCAGACTGTCTGCTGGGAAAAGAGGGACACAAAGAGAGGAATGCAGTCTGGCGAGGTGCGCGCGAGAAAACTCGCAGTCGCGGCGAACTCGTCGCGGAATTTCGGCGAAAGTATACCGGGTGTCCTCGGGCGTCGCGAAACCGGAAACCCCGTCGTAGTGCGATATACGTGAGGGAGAAAGTTACGGGTCTTTGATTTTGGAAAACGCGCCAACGAGAAGGCGCGTTTTCCAAAAACGTTGAAGTTGCGTTAACGAGGCGCACATGATTATCGCATACATTACAAATGGCATATATGTAAGTTTGGACTATCTTAAAATTGTAGCTATAAATATTATTTTGTTAAAGGAAGAGAGAGATTATATTCTAATAAATATTTTAAAATAGAATTCGATTTCTCGGTTCGCCGAGAATTCCATCGCGAATTTTGCATTTTGCGAATCACAGTACGCGGCTTCGATTCGCAATCTTGGAATCTCGAGGACCTCTGGCCGAAGTTTCAGGGTTTGCCGGCTGGCTCGTCGAATAAATAGGCGCGAGACCGTCTCGATGGGTTTAGCGAGTGAACGAACACATAGGTATGTATCTGCGCCTCTCGTCGTCGCTTCGCGGCGGCCACGCGCGCTCTTCGGCGCCGTTTGATTTACGACGGCCGTAAATAGTATCGCGAGTGGCTTTTTCCTGCCTGGCAATAACATTTAGAACGGCATTGCTCGCTCGAGATCGGCTCGTTATCCTCTTGTTAGCCGGTAGCGGTTACGATTGAGCAATCGTCGGTACTCCCGAGAAACGATCGCGATACGATAAAAATATTGGGAATTAAAGATACTGGCGGAACGAAATCGCAAATTTCGCTTGAACGGGGAACGGAAGCTCTCGCAAAAGTTCTCATTTTACCATGTCGTTATTCTGACTGGAAACTATATGGTTACGGTTGCCGCTTTTACTTCGATCGATCTTTAACATC